TTCTGCTATAAAATGCTCTACCAGACTATAAGGTGGTAATATTAGCCAACAAAAGGTTACAGTTAAATCCAATGTGAAACATTATGGGAATGAGTGTCTGATGGAGGACTCAAAACAGAGGTAGTATAAGACAAACTCTTTTCACTTTTATTCTTCCAACCTGATTTCCAGATTGTGTTAACTGTGGTCACACCCTATTGGTCCTCTTTCTAAGGCCAAGTTGGTGCTCCCTTGTGCAAATCATAGAAAACTTTGCTTCCACTTCCTGTGAATAGACTCATCCATTGGTCACTAGCCAGGAGACCATTCTAAGGCCAAAACAGGATAAAGCCAACACAAATGAGAGAGACTTTATGGTCTGTCTCCATGGTTGCCCCCAGGATTCCACTTTGTATCTCATTGCCTGTCTTGCACCACTTCAACCTGAGCTATGTCAACCAGCTAGAAGCAGATACATGGCCAAGGAAGGAGGCGGGAAGTAGGCACGACTGTAATTATTATTCTTAGGATATGTTTTTATGGTGTAGGAATCACTTAAAATCCATTGTTTCCTTTAATTCGTACAGGACCTTTTTTTTTTTCAAGGGAAATAATTTTTCACCTCCTGGATGAGAAGGTAAATTAATGAGCACACAAGTGATTATTCCAGGGCTTTAGGGGGAGATGGCAGAACCAGGGTTTGGATCCAGCTTCCTTTTAGTCCAGATTCTTTTCTCTTTCCTTGGCATCACCTTCATTCTGTTTCCAAACATTTGAGCAGGCACCAGCAGCTCCAAAGCACCTGCGTTTTTTTTTTTTTTTTTTCCCTGTCTTTCCTTTTCCTTCTCCAATAGCATCATCCCCTAGGGATAGCACAGATGTGGTGGCTGACAGGGGAGACAGTGAGGCCCATTCTAAACTCCAGGCTCAACTTCTCATTGTTTGGGGGCTTGAAGGTAAATTTTTGTAAAAGGGAAGTGAAAAAAATAAAGAGCTCAGTCTTAGCCAACTGTTCTCCAAGGCATCCGCGTTTTCCTGAAAGACAAATACAGAAGAGGAGTTATCTTCTCAGCTGACATGGTTCCAAACAGGGGCTACTTGCCTCTCCCTCCTGACCAGACCTGGACTTTATGCCGAGCACCTTATTTAAGTCTGACCACGCTCTGGGTTCACCAAAGAACAGAATGCAGAGTCTAGGACCACATTTGCTTTGTGGGGAGGGGGGCAGTGTCAGGCAGTTCTGGGGTGAAGGTGAAGTGATACTGACTTCCTCTGAAATGAAGGGCAACATCCTGATAACTTGCTTTTCTGCAGCATTTGAAACAGATTGCCTTTTGAAAATAAAGCTCCAAATTCCTTTAGCTTCTGAATTTCCTCAGAATGAGAATAAAAACTACTGAAGAAACACCTCCAAGGATCTGAGACTGATAGGTTCTCTGGATCACTAAATCTGCGTTTGTATTTTTACTGTCCTGTGTTTCACTTTTCTTATGAATGTCTCTCTAATGAAAGCTTTCCTCACCCCTGAGCACCCAGAAGATGGAGAAATGAAACCAGAAAAAAAAAAAAAAAAAACAGCCAAAAATACCAGGTTCCTTAAACCTGAAAAAATCTCTTCTCCTTATCATTCTGCCTCATGAATTTTTGTCTGTGAATAAAGATGCATGGTAAAGCCATTCCCCAGGGTAACACAGTGTATGGATAACTGTACCCAGGTTCATGTAGTTGCCACTCACTCAAGGGTGAGCTGTTGACACAAGGAAAAAGATTTGGAAAGCAAGCAAGCCAGTCCAGAAGATGGAGGCCATGCTGACAAGACCATCTCAACCCAGCCTAGGTGTAAGCAACTTTAATCCCCAGGGGAGGGGGAAAGAAAGACAGCCAAGGAAAGGGAAGGACTGACCACTGGGGACTTCTAGGTTCCACTCTGGTGGCCTGTAAGAGGTGGTGATTGGTGATCCTGATGTCTGTAAATTTCAATAATATCTTAGTTACTCTTATCTTGTTGTCTTCAGCCTTGAAAGGGGAAGAGACAGATTAGGTAAAGTTGGGACTAATCAACTTTGCAACACCAATTCCAGACACACACTCCCTAACAGATGACTCAACTGTAAATCTGACTCAATGGTTAAGGTAGCAAAGGAGGCAGATGCAGAGTGAAGGCAGAGATGCCAAGCTTTTCTATCCCAAATTTCATCACCCATCAGATATCCGCAGGTCCAAAGGAAGAGTTCCTACTTTTCACAATTGTGGCCCTAAAGTCCTTGAAAAGCAGCCCAGGCAACCAGAATCATCATGACCACCAGTCACAGGCGCTGTCTGTAGCAAAGCTGGTGGGAGACTAAAAATACATGGCTCAGCTGCGTGACCTCCAAAATGAGCATATTTTAAAGTCAACTGAAAGCAAGTGAAGCTGGAGGGTTTATTCAGGCTTTCCTTTGGTTACAACAAAGCAGAAGTGGGAGGACAGGGCTGGCCAAGAAAGCAGATGTCTAGCCTAAAAGGCTTTCAAAACCGATTTAACAAATAGTGGCAAAATCAGACAACAAAACCATGTATTGAATTTCAGTTCTTAAAACAAAGTCCAGAATATAACTAAATAAACTTCAGAGCATTTAAATCACCTTTCTCTTATGCCCAATGTCTCTCTAGAGGGTGAATGGCCCTCTATATTGGCACTGCCTGGTTCTGCTCCCTAGAGTGGGTCTTGATAAAGGAAGGCCTTTGCTTTCAACATGGAGCCCAGGACTGGAACCTCCTCTCTCCGTGGCTGACTCTGCACTGCCTTGGCCAGGTCTTACACCCTGTTATGTGTGGAGAACTGGAGGCAGAAGGACACAGATCAAGGTCAGTTCCTCTCACTTCCTAGCCATGTGATAGGGACAAGTAATCTCTCTAGGCAATGGTGAAGATTTGCATGTGTGTTTAAGATAAAAAACTTTATTTTACACAATGATTGGGCTATGCACTGAATCCAAATAAGCCGAATATGCTGACAAACTATATAGCATAACAAAGTGTTGTAAAATGCCTCCTGGATAATAATAAACACTATAGGTATACAATAGCACATCATTAAAGGAATCTGATTAATTCTCGAAACATAGTAGAATGCAATTTAAAAGTCAATTTTTAAGTAAAATTTTTTGGTGGTAGTGTTACTCAAGTAGTTTTCCATACAATTCTATGCATATAATTCTTTTACTGTGATACTTATCATAATGTGCTTTTTATTTTGATATGTTTTTAAATGTATAGAAAACTTACCAAAAAAACAACAAAAATTTCTCCTGAATATCTTGAAAGTAAATCATCCATATCACCCATGAAAAAATGTAGTGTGTAATTCTTATAAGCAAGAACATCCTCTAAAATAACTGTCAGTGGGGGCTGGGGATGTGACTCAGTGGTGAAAGTGCTTGCCTAGCATATGTGAGGCCCTGAGTTCAATCCCCAGCACCACCAAACTGTCAGCGGCAGGAAATTAATACAGATGCGTGACCAGCACTTTAGTCTCAGATCCCATTCAGGTTTTTCCAATTGTTCCAATAATGTCCTTTATTGTAAAAGGGTCCAGTTCAACATCAGGTATTGCATTTTGATGTCCTGTGTGCTTAGAGTCCTTAAGTCTGGAATAACTCCTCAGTCTTTACATAAGTGTCATGGCTTTGGCATTTTAAAGATTATATTGGAAATGTCTCTCACGCTTCCTCATAAACAGATTCAGGTTGTGAAGTTCTGCAGCATTGGTAGGAGTATCAAAGAAGTGGTGCTGTCTTTTCATTCCATCCTATCAGGTGGTAGTTGATTTTGATTCCTGTCATTATTTGTGATAGCTTGATTAAGGTAGTATCTATTAAATCTCCCCCTGTGAAATTACTTTTTTTCTTATGGACCTAAAAATATTTTAGGATTCCATGAATAAACCAGTCCTCATTAACTTTTTTTCATTCATTAATTTCCATTGTCATTTCTTGGCCAAATTATTTATTACAGGTGGCTGCCACATAATGACTTTAAAATTCTCTCATTCCTTCTACACTTACCAGCATTCAAATGCTTGTTATCCTCCCCATTTATTTATCCACTCATTTAATTATATCAGTATGGATTCATGGGTTTCTCTTTTTATTCAAAGGGGTATAATCTGTTGCTCATTGTTAACTTGTGTTGATGCTCAGAATATTCCTGATTTGGCCATCTGATGCCCATGCAAGTTGACATTTCCTGACTTTTTAGGACAACACCATGTTCCAAGTTGATTTAATATTTACCCTTCCCCAGCCCTGGAATGAGCCATTCTTCCAGGTGTTCTGGTTGCTTTTATTGGATAATGATATGCAGAAATCAAGATTCAAGGTCTGGGCATTAGACATGCTTGTTGCTTTCTGGATGTTGTTGTTCTAGGTCATCTCAGTGGACAGTGCAGGGGAATATATGTGTGTATATAACATGAGTATTTACCGAATTATGTGTATACACACACATATTTTTGTCCATATCCATTTCTGTATTTATTTATCTACTGAATATCTGAGTTCATATAGGCAGCCTCCAATTCCAATCTAATACCTGCTCTAGGCTTCTCCTGCTCACTTCCCTGAGTGAACATCCTCTTCAATCAACATAGGCTGCAATGCTCCAAACCAGTAGCTACCACCATCTTTTCTATGTGCACTTTTAATAGCTTACTTTCTTCCTAATACATATTCACCCAAGAGGGGAAGGAACACAAACACAAAAATAAAAATACCAAGAATAATAAAGGGTGTTTGAAATACCATAAATCAGTCCCTACCTCTGTTAACATTTTGATATTTCCTCTTTATCCTAGAGGCAATTCCACTGGGAGCCATAATGGGAATAATTCACTGCTGTTAATCCTATAAGCTGATTTTTACTACTTGTCTTTTTCCTTTGTAATTAAATTTTCTTGAAAATTTGTTAAATATGTTAAGGCCTCCATTTTGTCCTCACTTACGGGACAAATGCAGGTTATTGAGGAAATAAAATTAGATCACATGTGCAGAAGTGCTTAGTAAATATAAATGGCCCCCAATTATATCATTATTATATTATTTTGTGCCTGTTTCCCTTCAGCCTGAGTCTAATTCATCTCTCTTCCTCACATTTTATCTTACCACCTATCAGAAATAGTATGATTGATACCAAAACAGTTGTATTATAAATTGCCAAGATTCTCCTAGAAGAATCCATGTATCTTGACAAAATTGGACAATTAAAGAAAAAAACCACAGTTAAAGAACTGGTTCCATCAGCGACCACTGAGTGACTAAACGAACCATTCTCACAAAGCTAAACCTATCTCACTTGCAAAACATGTGAAACATTTGTCTCCTGTGTCAAATGGCAGGGCAAAGGTCCCAGGTGGATAACAGGTATGAATTTGTTTTAAAAGGATGAAATCTAGGACTTTTTGATTTCATAGCTTAGGTCTGGGTGATGGGTAATTTTGGTGATCAACCTAAGTAGACTGAGAAACCTAAAAAGCTGGTGAAGCACAATTCTGGGTGTGTATGTGAAATGTTTCCAGAGATAGTTGGCACATAGCTCAGTAAAATGAGAGGAGCAGACCTGCTTTGAATGTAGGTGGCACTGTCCCGTGGCTGGGGGCCCAGAAGGAACAGATAGAGGAAGATGGGGAAAGCTTGCCTGAACTTGCCAGCTCAATTCTTCTTGAGCAGCTGGGAATTTTGCTGATACTATCACCTGCCAACACCAGACACCAGCTTCTACAGCCTTTGAAAGTGGACTCACACCAGAGACTCTCCAGAGGGCTTCCAGGCCTTCAGCCTCCTCCGGGGGTTGGGTCATTGGTCCCTCCCATTGTGAGATTTTCGGCTTCTTGGACTGATTAGTTACTGATTTCCCCAGTTCTCCAACTTGCAAATGACTACTATGAGACTATCCTCTGACCATGTAAGCCCATCTAATAAATCTTCTTTTCTAACTGATTCTGTTTCTCTAGAGAGCCTTAATACAGATTTGGGTACCAGAAGGAGCTCTAAAGACACAATACTGTAATGATGAATTTCCTTAATTGGTTTTATGGTATCTGGAAGTGGCTCTCTAATTTGTCTAAACCTAAAGTATCTAAAGACTCTCCTGAAGAGAGTATTGATAGTCTATGGTGTAAATTATTTCATAAACAAAAAGGAAACACATTCAATGTGCCTGATAGGGAATCCAGCGATTCTATACATGATGCTTATAAATATTTTTAAGAAAACCAAGGAATATAATGATGTTGGCTGGTTGTCCCTAGCATCAATGGACATAATAGTAAAGGAAAACAATGTGTTCAGGGATTCAATTTCCCAGTGCCAAATTTACATAAGTAACCTGAACTCTTCCAAGTATGCCCTGAAGGAGAATCTTTTCTCTGGCAGATAAAGGGCTGAAGTTGCCAAAACCCAACCCCTCAACATGCAATTGGCTGGATTATAGTACAAATTTAAGTCTCAACCTGGAAGGGTGTCTGCAGTTAAAATGAAAGCACTACATGGAAACAATGGGATACTAAAAATTGGAATGGGGACCTGTGGGCAGACTCTGTTGAGGGCGGTGACATTGAACTCCTAAGTTATGATGAGTTGATTTTGCCAGAGGAAGTGGCCTCCCCATCCTCAGTGACAGAAGCACCCCCAACTCTTCCCCTATGCTACCGGCCTTTCCACCTCTGCCTGAAGGGACTAATCCAGCATTGCCCAAGGAAACAGAAGTGACCTTCCCTGACACAGTTATTAAGTGGACAATGCTGGTATTCCTCAGGACCCATCCCAACCACCCATTTTTGCCTCTAGACTAGTAATCAGACTTCAGTTTCAACAGACCCCTAAAGGCAAGGGGCACTGTGAGACTCCTGGGGAGGTGCACTACAGTGCAAATGAACTTCTCAAATTTTCTAATTCATACAAGCAGAGGTCTTGAGCACATGTGTGAAAATGGATTTTAATGATGTGGGCTAATGGTGGAAGGAACATAAAGTTGGTTCAGGCTGAATTTATTGATATGAACCCATTAAGCAGAGCTTCTGCCCTTGATTTATTTGCAGAGTTAAAAGGGGGTGCTAATGGAGCTGGGGATGTAGCTCAAGTGGTAGCGCGTTCGCCTAGCATGCATGAAGCACTGGGTTCAATTCTCAGCACCACATTAGAAAAAAAAGATATCGTGTCCACCTAAAACTAAAAAATAAATATTTTTAAAAAGGGGGGTGCTAACAGCGTATTTGGTTGGTTGGCTGAAATATGGATCAAAAGATGGCTCATTGTGAATGAGCTGGAAATGTCTAAATTGACTTGGTTTAATGTGGATGCAGGGATTCAGAGGCTCAGAGAGACTTGGCTACTGCAGTGGAGTTGCACTGCAAGACCTTCTCCTCCACACTGGGTGGGGAGGGGTCTAGAAGATGTGGCCTGCACCAGTACTTTAAGAAACAAACTTGGGAGTAGAGCACTAGCAATCTTCAGGAACTCCACATGCTTTTCTCCATATGCCAGACATTATAGTTAGAGCCATGGTCACTCAACTCAGAAACTTAAATGCAATGAGAATGTTTCTCCTGGGCTGGGAAGCTAGGAATCTAGGAAGCATGCAATTTTTTGTTGTTGCTGTTTTTCTTTTTTACCTTTTTTTCAGTGGCTCACAGCTAATAGTTTGTATGAGTCTCAGAAAAGATGTTGGACTTGGACTATCTAGCAATGCTAGAAAAGTTAATATTTGAGGGATTCTTAGATGAACTGAATGTGTTTTGCATTGTGAGATGGACATGAGCTTTTGGAGGCCAGGGACAGAATGTTAAGTGTAGATCTTAAATGTCCTCTGAAGGCCATGTGATAAAGGCTTGTCTGTCAGCCTGTGGTGCCACTGGGAGATGGTAGAAACTTTAGAAGGTGGGTCTACTGGGAGATCATTGGAGGTGTGTGCCCTTGAAGGCAATATTGAGACCCTAAGCCCCTTCCTCTCTTGGTTCCCCAGCCACCATAAGGTGAGCAAGTTTTCTCTGCCAACTCACTTCCTCTATGGTGTTCAGCTCATTGCAAGCTTAAACTCCTTCAGAGTGAGGAAAGAAAACTGTATGTGTAAGATGAAAGTCTGGTAGAAAAAAACCGACAGAGGAGTTTTAACCATGTTGACTCTCTGGATATTTCCAGGTTTCTAGCTCCTAGTAAATTCAACTGATCCTCATTCTGCCACATCTTCTGTGGGAATCCCCAGGCAAACTGCCTGCACCCTCTGAATTTTATTCTTCTATCAAAAAGAGAGATGCTGAGAACAAAACACCTCCATTTCTCCCCTGCCTCAGTTCTACATTATTTACAACATGACTTCATAGCTCATCTAATCAATCTTTTAGCAATTCCTCCTTCTGTTTAACTGAGGCTGGCCTTGTGACTTGCATCAGCCATTAGAATGTAGAGGGAATCAAGGCTTGACAGTTTCCAGCCTGGAACTTAATGGGCCACAACATGGTTCTATTCTCTCTTGGGACCTAATCACCACCATGTGAAAAAGCCAGGCTAGCTTGCTAGAGAATGAGAGAAAATGTGAGAGAACAGAACACTGTTGTCCCAGCTGAAATCAGTCTTCAGACACTTGACCTACCAAACATGTAAGACAGCCCAGTCAAGAACAGCAAAGCCACATACCTTACCTGTAGACCTGTGAGCAATAACACAAGCTTATAAAGTCCCAAGAGTTTTAGATTGTTTGTTTTGCAGCAAAATACTAGCTGATACATGTGGTATAAAACTCAATGACTTTTAAATGGAAAAGTAAGTTACATTCTAGTTGTACTGGAGAGAGCACTAAATTGAAAGTATAAAAACTTGGGTCTTAGGCCCTAGCCTGTCAATTTGCTGGGCATCTGATCTCGGAAAGAAACAACTCTCTCAGTTTTAGTTTGCTTATATTAAGAAATAAGATACATATAATATGTCAAGAGCTTTGTAATGTTTTGAACAACCAATAAAAAAATATGAAAAAAAAGAAATAAGATTCCAGTCCATTTACTGTGTAAGTATTAATAACTAGTTTGCTGTAAGGATTGCTTGAGATAATACACTTGCAAATGAAGCCTGTGATTAAGAGAGTGTAATATAATTCTTGGTAGCAAAGCACCAGTGAGTTCTGTGTCCTGCTCTTTTTACCCTTTTGCTAACACAAAAGGAAGACTGTTTTAAAACAGACAAAGACATAAAGCAACTATGAGTAAGAGGCTTTTGCAATATGAAGGGAAAGAATCTATCTGGGTATCAGAAGGCCAAGAGAATCCGTCTTCCTCTTAAAGCCATCTCTATTATGATTCCTCTCATCACAGTTGCAGTAAACAGCAGGTGAAACAATTGTGTAATGCTAAAGGGTCAGATTTCTAGCATTGCAACATTTTATGAATCCAAGATGCAAAAAGCAAGAAGTGTCACGGTAATTGAAACATACACTTGAAACTTTGTGCTGTAATGCAAAGTTTGAAACTACAGCAGACAGGAAGACTGGCAGACATTCCTACATCTTATACCACCTCTTCACATTAGAGGTGACTTGTCCAATGTGAGCAAAGGTGATGGTAGAACCAGATGAGCAAAGACAAAGAAGTTCTAATCAGATCAACCCAGACACACCTAGGGCAGTGCAGCATAGTGGGAAAGCAAAGGATTTGGAAACTCAGGGCCATGAAAGAAAGAGAGTTCTTCCCTTTCAAAGTTTTTACTGTTACCAGTAGTCAAAAGATACTGTCTCTAAAGTCAATGCATATTTTAAATGAATAATAAGCAAATTATCATGTATTCTACAGTGTGTTTTCTCTGTAGCATTTAGTTATTTTTCAGAAGATGGTGTTAGGAGGAACATAAGTTTTAGCTTTTGATAAATCTGGTTGACATTTATTTAGCCTTAGGTCTGCTACATGAGTTTTATGACTTCATTATCACATGTGTTTGGGCCTCAGTTTCATAACTCTAAAGTGGTGATAAATTTGAACCTTCTAAGGTTGCCGAACGACTTATGCTCTCTGAGGGGATCTGTTTTGTCTTCTGTTTCATTCATCATTATGAAATGGACTGAATATTCTACATAATTGAGATATTTATAAAATAAAGGAATTGAGAAATTATTTGAAATACTTTATATAACATATCAAACTCATTATCTGGACTAAGACATTTTATTATTGATTTTACAATGCTATAAGTTTGAAATATTCTTTTGGAACTGGCTGGCTAGAAAACAAAGGAGTGAGGGAGGGGAGAGAGATGGGGGGTTTCATTGTTTCATTGTATCCACTTTTCCAGCTGCATATCATACAGATGTATTAACTACATTTTGAAAAGGAAACTAAACTTGCAAAGGACAAAAGGGCCTTTTCAGGAAGAGCTTACAGAGCAGAGCCCAACCTAGCCAAGCAGGGAGCATTTAGAGTCACTGTCTACTACCCATGACAGTGAATCAATAGCTTCTCTCCTTTGCTGCCTCCCCATCAGTACAAGATCTATTTCTTTGGGAGAGGAAAACCCTTAAAAAGAAATTGTGACAATTAAAAACTTTATAAAAAAGGAAGATATCCAACTTTGTGACCAAGAGTCAAGGTTTGAGTCTCTGTCACCAGCATTCTGGTAAACAGAACAAAGGGAGGCTGAAATCTCCACCAGCACCCAGGGAGGGCTTGGGAAGTAAAGACGGTCTGAGGCAAGGCCTGGACCAGAGGATGTTGAACTTCAAACAATAGTGAGATGGAGTCACCCTAGGCAGGACCCTCTGGAGACTCCCCAACTAGAGCAAAGGATTGCAGACAGGAGAGGAGGGAAGGGCTGAGGGAGGAACTCTGCCCTCCCAGACTCCTATTCATCCAAACTCACCCATTGAGAAAGGCATGAAGGATTCTCTTTTCTTAAACTGTCCATTCTCCAGAAAATGCTCAGGGTTGAATGTGTCAGGGGTGGCCCACTCTTTGGGGTCCTTGTGCAAAGCGGTCAAATTGGTCAGGATCATGGTCCCCTAGAGAAGGCAGTGAAGAGTCAGGCAGGACTTGACCCACATCGCACATCTAGGCAAAGGTAGGTGGTTCTCAGCTCCCCATGCTGGGGCCTGAGCACATTCTGAGCTTCCACACCCTCCCAACCCAATACCTGCTGAGCTCAACCTTCTAGGACCCTTCTCTTTGAGTGGGACAACTTAGAAGGATGAATTGGAATTGTCTTCTGAGAATTTTACCCTGGAATTTTGGCTATTCTTGACTGCATAATAAAGCTCCTCTGCAGAAACAAGTCAGTGTAGGTCTGGGGAAGGGGCCTGTAAGCATCCATGAGAGAATTATGTGACAGCTGGTCGGTCCGCACAGTAATTAAATCAACCCAGCTAGTCAGTGAAGTGATAAGGAGGGCAGCTCTACAAAGGGGGAGAAAATGCATCTTTCACTCTGCTTCTGCATTTTCTTCCCTCCAGTGTGTAGAAAGCTGTGCCCAGTCCCAAAAGCTATTTGAGTAGCACAAGCAGATATCCAGGGAAAAGAATCCCTGTCCATCGAGGTATATGACAAGAAACCCTGGAGTCACTAGAGTGAGCCTTCTCTCACTACCTCATCCAACCCATCAGTCATGCTTGACACTTCTTTAAATGCCCCCTGATTCCCTCACCTCCATTAGGGACTGTCCACCACCACCTCTGCAGAGATCTTAAAAGTGGTGGGTGGAGTGTGATTTGAATTCTTGCTCATCCAGATTCTTGTAATCACTTCCTACTTATGCCCCACATCCTCTGTTGCCCTTTTCAATTTGCTCCACACCCTGAAAGCAGAGTGTGCTTTGAATATGGCTTAAATCTATGACAGCCCCACCCACTCAGACCTCAAACTTGGTATTCAATAGCTTCCCACACTCCTAGTCACAGATCCATTCCTTAACCTCTCAGGGCTTCTCCTATTCTTCTTGAGCTCCCACTACAGTGACATGTAACACAGGTCAAATTTCCATTCATTTCAATGACTTTTTAAATACTGCTCACCTTGCCAGGAAATGTTCTCTTCCCCCACTTTTCCATTAACCAACTCCCAGCAATCCTTTAATCCTCAGCTCCAGCATTACTTCCTTCAGAGGCAAGCCTCCC